CCCCCCCCTAAAAACAGTTAAAAAAAGAAAAAACAATATATCCTCATGCAAGAACTTTTCTGCTTCCGATTACCCCCATGCTTAAAAGTTGCAAAGGAAACACGGAAGCAGGGAAGCGGCTGCCCAGCTCCGGAGCTCCGCACCATATTTTTTTCAGATGGGAATCTGACACGAGTATAAGCCGAGGGGGTTTTTTTCAGCACAAAAAATGTGCTGAAAAACTCGGCTTATACTCGAGTATATACGGTAAGTTGTAGTCTACTTTATCGAATGCCTTGCTGAAATCTAAATATATTATGTCCACAGTATTTTGCTGGTCTACTAATTTAGTCACTGTGTTGAAGAATGAAATAAAATTGGTTTGGCACGATCTGTTTTTAACAAACCTGTGCTGACTGCTAGTTATTACTTTACTTGTTTCTAGATGTTGGCAGATCTGTTTTTTTATTATCTTTTCCAGTATCTTCCCAGGTATTGATGTTAGGCTGATTGGTCTATAGTTTCCTGGGTCTTTTTTTTTCTTTCATTTTTTGAAGATGGGAACCACATCAGCTCTTTTCCAGTACTCTGGTAGTTCCCCAGTGCTCCAGGATTTTTGAAAGATATGGTGCAGTGGTTCTGAGATGACCTCTGCCAGCTCCTTTAAAACTCTGGGATGTAATCCATCAGGCCCCAGTGATTTGTAATCTGCAACTCATACACTGCAAAAACATATGGACTACACAATTCGATCAGGGCAAAGCAATAGACGTAATCTACATACACTTCTGTAAAGCCTTTGATTCAGTGGTACATGACAAACTACTCCTAAAACTAAAATCTTACGGTATCTCTGGATGCCTGCATAACTGGATAGAAGCATTCCTGTTAAACAGACAACAAATGGTCAAAATTGGGAGTGTCCTATCAAATTCTGTACCTGTCAACAGCGGTGTCCCCCAAGGCAGTGTTCTAGGACCAACTCTTTTCATACTCTACATAAATGACTTCTGTGATCATATCAAGAGCAACTGCATTCTCTTCGCTGATGATGTAAAGCTATTCAACACCACAGACAATACTGCTACCCTTCAAAAAGACCTCGACTATGGACTTCTGGTAACGAGATATGGGCGAATGGAGGTGCTGAAGCTCACCCTGGATTTCACGCTATCTCCTCTTGCTGTTGGAGTGACCCTTAGGGGTACACACATTTTGTAGAGAAGCGTGCCAGTGTGGGGAGACTCAAGTCATGGTGTGGAAAAGGCGATTCTCATCGCGACGTAGAGAAACCCTGTGGAGACCGACAACAAGAGACTCTCAGTAATGGCGTTCCTAAAGCCTTGATCGTTGCATACAAGAGGAAGCATGTGAGTGACAGACTGTGGTGAATGAAGAGTGTGAGTGAAAGAATTTGCCATCCTGATTGAGCATTGAATATTGGAGAATCTCAGTCGGAGTGAAGCCCGAAAACAGCAGCCAAAGCAGATACGAGCAGCAGCGAAAGTGAAAGGGCTCATGAGATGGAAGAGGGTAAGGACGCGAGCGATTGGACAGAGAAGATAAGAGAATCTGAGGGATCTGAGAGACTGATAATAATTGGGGGAGAAAAAAAAAGAAGAAGAAAGAACAACAATTTAATTTAAGGGAACTTTGAAGGATTTGAATTGTGGACTTCATAGCACCATCCTTTAAAGTTCTCTTCATAGCACCATCCTTTAAAGAAGTGATTTAGTTCAAAAAGTCACAATTTCCTCATTAGAAGTTTATCTTTTATTGGGTGTACAGATGAAAACCTCACCTGTGCACCCATCACTTTTGCTTTCTTGCCTAGTTGCTCCTGGTCTCTTGATGTTGTTATCAGGCTCTTTATTGTATTCATCCCCATATGAAAGAGAGAAGGTAATAACAATTTGTGGGCTTAATTATTTAAGTAATCCTTTCTATGACATCTTTGATCTTTGCTTCTGGGAGACAGGAAACCTCCCTAGATAGATTGTCTGGTTTACAAGTTGCTAATTCATTCACTTTGAGTAGTGAGTCTCCTATCAGCAACACATACCATCATTATCCATGACATACCATCATTACTTCATCTCTTCTCTAAATGGAAATATTATTAAAAGAAGGAGAAAGAAGTGGAAAAGTGCTAACACATGAGATCACAGATTAATATCATAAGTTTTGCAGCACAGGCATAGTTGGCTTCATGACCTCATCTTCTAATAGTGCAGATGAAATATTTCTGGATGTACCTAAGCAAATTATGAACTCCACAAATAATATCACTTTTAAAATTATTTCCCTCATATATGGATTTCTTTTTGTTCTCCAATGTGTGATAAAATTCCTTCATGCTTTAGTACCAGTTCTCCAAAGATTTATTTTTAAATTTGCTTTTATTTATCAATTTGGAGACCACTTGATTCCTGGTGATTCTGAATTGCTTACAGTTACATACATTTATAAATGGCTTTAAGATCTACAAAAACCATCTAACCAGGGCTCCAGCTTCAACCTATCACAAATCTAGGGGAATAGCCAGGTAGGTCTTTAATAGTTTTCTGAATGTCATCAGAATGCCAACAGTCTGGATCTCTGAGTGGATATCCTTCCAAAGGCAGGCACTGGTTCTGAGAAGGCACGTTTCCTAGAGTCCTACCATTTATGGACCCAAACTGTGTCTATTTGCCCAATTTTACCAGTAGTTTAATTGCACTCCGAAGTCTACTACAGCTAGTCCAATAGGCTCACATGGGTACAATGAGGCATCCAAACATTATCTTTGCTGCCATATACTGAGCTAGGTATAATCTCTGAGTGACCTTCAAGAAAGCCACATGTATAACAGATTACAATAGTCCATTCATGAAATGACTAATACATGAGAGACTGTCTGAAGGACCATGATACATGCATCACAGTCAATGACTACTGTATCATTCAAAATTTAGAATGTATAAACTCCCATTTAAAAGAAAATTTAAACAAGGAGTCATATTTGTCATTTTGTTCTCCCAGGTAAAGTCCAAGAGGAAATTGCAAAAGAGATTGGTGATCGTGAGCCAAGGACTGACTTTCGAGCAAAAATGCCTTATACTGATGCCGTAATTCATGAAGTTCAAAGGTTTGCTGACGTTGTCCCCACCAATATGCCCCATGCAACCACCATGGATGTAACTTTCAAAGGCTTCTTCATTCCCAAGGTGATTAGTCTGAAATCACTGCATTAGACAAGGCCTAGCTTTTTTAAAATATACAAGATAGAATTTTAGTACAATAAAGTATAGTTTTTTATTACTTATTTTTATTTTTTAAAATAATAAGAGAAAAAGAAAAATAACAAAAGAGAAACGTGCAATATAAAAATACACAAGAGGTTAAAAAAGTAAGTGAAAAAATACAACAGAAAAAATAATTGCAACAGAAATTGGAGTTGCAGACAGAAATTCTCAGCTGCAGACAGACCACCAAACAAAATGCCTTACATTCAAGGGTGGGATTCCACCGGTATAACAACCGGTTCGGTCATCGTGCACATTCGTGCCAAACGCACACTCCAAGTGAGTGCTCCGCATTTCAAAAAAGGTTTTATACTTACCTTCTTCTGCAGTCCTTGTGACTAGAACAGCTGAGGCATGGCAAACCACTCTGCCCTGTGAATCAGCTGTGCTCTCACAAAAGGGAATATAGCATAGGAAAGAGCAGGAGTGGACAGGCGGGCCCCCATGCCAGTCACCGCAAACCAGTTCTCTGCCAGCTGATCTTTGGAGCAAGGGGTTCGCCCAAACCATTCTGAACTGGTAGAATCCCACCCCTGCTTAAGTTCAAAGGTTTACTGACATTGCTCCATCTGATTTGTCACATGCAACAACCATGGACATAACTTTCAAAGGCTTCCTCATCCCCAAGGTGACCAGTCTAAAATCACTGCATTGCATAAGATCTAATTTATAATGTACAGTGTGGTAGAAGAATCAGTCCTTAAATGAATGGAATGGACTAAATCAAGTTGATCTATAGAGCTAAAAGGCCACATAGCCTCTTACTCTCATAGATGCTTCTCTCAAAGTGCCAAAGGCAATGTTTTTCTTTGGTATGTGGCATTCCCAAACTGCCCCCAACTCTTGATTTATGGAGTATGTTTCCTCTCTTGTTTTGTTTTTGTTTTGCCCTCCTGTTGGTTGCTTGCTTTATATCCATTGCTTCCCTTCAGTAAGCCTTTATTATTTGTTTTGGATCCTGCATTCTAAGTCCACAAGTTCAAGGTATAATGTTTCAATATAGTAAAATACAGGCTTAAGATAATTTGCCTGATGTTTTAATTTTTTGAACATGTCCAAACACAATAATTAAATCAGTATATATATTTGCAATACACATTTTAAAATATAGTTTTAATATTTTAAAATTGAATGTTGCTCCAGACCCAATAATATTTTAAAAATCACTGTAATGATATATAATATAATATAGCCATGTACTAAGAGGACATACTCCTTTTCATATAGTTTTCTTTAATCCTTTCAATTTTTAGGGAATGTACATACTTCCCTTGCTGACTTCTGTGCTCCGTGATGAATCTCAGTGGGAGAAACCTCATGAATTCTATCCTGAGCATTTTCTTGATTCTAAAGGAAAATTTGTGAAGAGGGATGCATTCATGCCATTTTCTGCAGGTTAGTTTCTCTGGCGTCATAGATTCTGTTCTATAAAAGGCAACCCTTAATTATCTTTTTTGAACTGATAAAAGTTTGATCTCAGAAATCTTATTTGGACAGAGTTTAGGCCTCATGGACAACATGTGTGGCCAGGCTCATTCAGGGATTAGTTGATTCCAAAGTCTGTCTGGACAATCATCAACCGTGTGCATGAGTTACTGTTATTCCTGCTGCACTCAGTATCAGCATCTCTGCATTTTGGCAATCCAGGATGATTCTTGTCTTTCAGCCTTCTTGGCTGATTGGAGCCTTCAGACACACACAGACTTTGGGTTTTCTTAAAAGAAAAGAAATACAAAACGTTTATTAGCTTTTCTTAAGCTTTTATTCTTAGGTCACAGCAATGTAGCAGAGAATAAAATGCAAAAAAGCAAAATACAATAAGATGGTTAAAAAAAAGTGTTAGAGAGAAGGGACTGGATTAAAATTAAACTGGGGCTTCAATTAAGTACATTTAAATTTTTATTTATAAAAAGTTTTTTATTTTTAACAATAAACATAGACAAATACAAACATAAAACAAAAAAAAACCCATCGTACAATTGTATAGTGTGTCGGTTGGTACATAATTTTTGTGCACAATATGTATAGTCTTTCCCTCTTGAATTTAAATTTACTTTCATATTACATTGATCAAATTTCCATGTCATATTATATTATTATTACACCATTATTAGATTTTACTTTCAAATCCACATTATCCTTTAGAACATATCTCAGTTCTTACCAGTTTTAATTCATATTAAAAGTCATTCTATAATAATCAATTATAACATACCATTACTGCTAACTTCAATTTTCCACTTTTCTAACTAGCCATTGGTAAATAAATCCCATATCTTAAAACATTCTTTTTCTTCTTGCTCTCTATTTGCTAATGTTAATTTACTCATTTTTACACATTCCATTATTTTCTTAATCGCCTCTTCTTCTATTGGAATTTTCTCATTTTTCCAATTTTCAGCAAATACAATTCTATCTGCAGTTAAAACATTAATAATCAAATATGTCAATTCTCTATTATAACCTTCAGGTAAAATTCCCAATAAAAATATATCTGGTTCCAAATCTATATGCTGTTTTGTCATTTTTTCCAGCCATGTGTGTATTTTAGTCCAGTATCTTTTGGCTTCCGCACACATCCATCACATACGGTAATGTGATCCAGGTATCTGATGACATTTCCAACACTTCGCCGATTTATCCTTGAACATCCTTGCTATTCTTGCTGGAGGCAAATGTCAGCTGTAAAACATCTTATACAAATTCTCTTTATATGCTGTTCACATTGTTATTTATAGTTTGTAGTCCATAGTTTCTGCCATTTATCTAGATCTATTCCATATCCAAAATCCCCCCCCATGCAATCATTGTTTCTTTAACTTGTTCTTGTTCTAATTTCATTCCTAATATATAACCATATAATTTTTTAATCATTCTCTCAACAGTATCTGTTAAGATTTTATCTAATTATGTAAATTCTTTATAAAACCCTCCTGTTTTACTATCTTTATCATATCTGGAATGTATTTGCATATATGTATACAATTCATCTTTATCTCTTGTTCATCTAATTCTTGCTTTGTTTTGAGTTCACCCTTTTCATTTAAGATTTCACTATATCTAACTATGTGTTCCATTTTAAAAAGAATTGGATACATGAATGCCTCTATGGTTGATAGCCAGACTGGTATTTTCATATAACGTTGTTTCCTTATTTTCTCCCATGTTGATAATAAAGCATTTGAATATAGTGTCTCCTAAAATACCCATGTGCTTTACTTTCCTTATACCATAAAAATGCATGCCACCCCAATTATAAATCATGGCCTTCCAATGTTAACAACCTACCGTGTTTCTCACATAATAAGGCCGGGCCTTATTTTTTTTTGACCCCCGAAAAACCGGCTAGGCCGTCTTTTCAGGGGTGACTTAATTTCCCCCCCCTTTGCATCCTTGGGTGGGCGGGCGGCGACAGCTTGGATGTTCGGGAGACCTTCCGCCACCGTTAATTTCCCTTCTCCCTTGCTGCCGTAGCGTTACAGCAACGCGTTTGGCGCAGCCACGTGCAGCCAGTCAGGGCTCCTCCCTGCAACCGGAGCCCTGAGGAGACACTTGGCTTCAGGCGCTCCTGTGGCCGCCTTCCCTTTGCCTTCGATGGTAAAGTGAATTATTTTAAAAACCTCCGCTCATCCTATCAGGGCCGTGCGAGCTGAGCAGAGCCGGGAAAGCAAGCCACGGGTGTTTCCTGGTTCTGCCCAGCCCGTACGGCTCTGCCGCAGCCCTGGCGGGATGAGCGGAGGTTTTTAAAATAATTCACTTTACCTTCGAAGGCAAAGGGAAGGCGGCCACAGGAGCGCCTGAAGCCAAGTATACCAACAACAAAAGGCAAATCCTCAAGGTGGGCTGGAGGGAGGTGGCTACGTGCCCCCCGGGCTGCTTCAATGCAAGGTCCTGACTTGCAGCATCCTGCCGTTGCCGCTGCGTCCTTTTCGCTGCCGCCTCCTCCCTCTCCGACTGGGAAACTCGTGTGCTTCGCCAAACGCTCCGAGCGAGGCGAGCTCTTTCATACATAGAGAGAGAGGGAAAGACGCCGGCGTGCTCCGAGAGGCTGGCTCTTTTCTCTAGCCGAGGCTGACAGGAAGTGCCTCCAGGGCCGTGGCAGGCAAGCCGCGGGTGTTTCCTGGTTCTCCCCAGCGCGCACGGCTCTGCCACGGCCCTGGCGGGATGAGCGGAGGGCCCGGCGGGGAGGCACTCATTGCCTTGGTGACATTTCAGGTGCCTCCGCCGCCTCCTCGCCCATCGCAGGTGGCGGTGGCGGCGGCAAGCGGCGGCGCTTCGCTGAGGGAAAAAGAAGACAGCACAGCCACCTTGCTTGCTTTCCCACCTGCCCGCCCCAGATGGCCTCAGGAGCGGCTGCAGTGGCAGCAGGCGCGCACACTCCTGCCGGCGAAGGGAGGAGAGGCAAGGAAAGAGAAGGGAGTGCGGCAGCAGCGGCTGTCACAGTATCGTCTCATAGCGGGGCAAGGCTGGCAAGCTGAGGTGGCCGCACCAGAGAGCGTCACTGCCGACCCCTTTTCTCTAGCCGATTCTGACTGAATCTCTATCCCGCTCCTTTATCCTCACGACGGGGT